TCGCTGTCCCTCTTGGGTTTTCTCGCCACAGAACGCTTTCCATCAGCCGAGCCTCACCGAGGCGTCACACCAAAAGGCAACCTGGGGCCCGAAGGGCGACCCCGTCGAGTCATGGAAATAAATCACTACGCAAGTTTTTGGATTCTGTCGGCCCCCGCGGGCCCGAATCAGGCCCAGGGACCGTGTCATCCAACAACTCCAGGTGAAAAGCTGGCACAGGAAAAGAATAATGTTTGGGGGGGCCCGCCTTGTGAACAAGTCCGACGTCGGAGTTTCGGGCTTGCGGGGGCGGAGGAGGGAGGAGGGAGGACTACGGAGGAGGGGTGAGGAGGAATGAGGAGGAGTCGGGAGTAGTGCGCAAGAGTGCCAGAGTACCCGTCCTTCGTCGAGGACGGAGGGCCTACGCAGGAAATGAGGAGGGGGACGAGGCGGACGACGGAGAACAGGAGCAGGACGAGAAGGAGGGCCGGGAGAGAGGAAGACCACGCTCCATTTCTCGCCTGCTCTCAGAGTTGTGCTGTGGTTCCCTTCCTGGTGCGGCTGGTGTTGTTGTTGCTCCTGGCCTGGGACTGGATTTTCAGCCGGCGGTGCGCGGGATGCCCGCTTTTGGCAACCACGCTGCGCTGCCCACTCTCCCTAGTTTTCCTCCTCGTCCTCTTCATTCGCCTCCTTGGCGTGCAAGCTGTGTAAGACAGTCTGCGTGCCTCATGGCTAACTACTGCACGCTTATGGGACTCGTTCGATAGATCGTCCTGCACTCCCCGCGGGATGATCTCATCCGCCATTCGCGCTGCGCTGACGCAGAACAGCACAAAGACTTCCGCATCCCTGACAGTCCATCCATGTGAAGGTGGTGGAAGAGGGGGGCGGGTAAGTGGTAGTGGACGAGGGCGGAAAGGAGAGGCAGCGCGAGGAAGAGTTGGGCGAGGAGGCGGAGGCGGCGGCGGAAGAGGAGGATGTCATCCTTGAAGACGGAGAGGACGCGGAACATGAGGTTCTGGAGAGGACAGTGGGGCAGGTTGGCAGGAAAAGAAGGAAGAGGAGGACGCCAGGATTTGGAGTTGCCCAACACGGCAGGACGGCGATGCATGTTATCGAAGACGCCTACAGCGAATCACCGCCGCCCCCCGCCTTTGGGAATCACCGATTTTGCCGAGCGTTGTGGCAAGAGCTCTTCCAAGCTATCTGGCCATGTGCTCCCCCAGCTGTCGTGGAAACCCGTCGGGGAACACTTCTGGGGGGGATGGCGGGGAAGATCTGGAAGAGGAGGAGGTGGAGGAGGAGGAGGAGGAGGTGGCATCTTGGGAGCCTCTCGGGGCACTCTTGCGGCCTCCTGGGATCTTCCTGGGAGCCTCTTGGAACTTTGAAGCATCTTAGGGGCCTCCTTGGGCCTCTTGGGGTCCTTTGGGGGCTCCTCGGGGGCCTCTTTGGCCGTCTTACGGCATTTCTGGCCCGTCTGACGCCGTCGGAAGCCGTTTGGTGGGCCTCTCTGGGCTGGGCGTCTTGAATGCTTCTTGGACCGTCTTGGGGCCCTGTTGGGGCCGTCTCCGGGCCCTCTTGGGCCACTCTGCGGCCATCTCGGAGGTTTCTGAGGCGATCTCGCGGCGATCTTGGGGGGCTCCTCTCGGACCGTCGGAAGGCCGAAAAGAAGCATATATGGCAGAATCATTCAAACACCGATGGGCTATCACTGATTTGAGCCTCTCCGCGCCTTCCAGGAAGCCCTCTTGGGGCCATCTTGAGCCGTCTTGGTGGCCTCCTGGCCCGTCGGACGCCGTCTCAGGGGGCCTCTGGGCCGACTTGGGGCTCTCCTGGGGTGCTCCCGGGCAGTCTGGGAGGCCATCTTGGGCCTCTTGGAGGCCTCTTGGGCCGTTTTGGGGGCTCCGTCGGGCCGTTTTGAGGGCCTCTTGGGCGGTTCTGGGGCCATCTTGGAGGCTTCTTGGGTGATCTTGGGTCGATCTCTGGGAGCTCTTGGGAGCGTCTCGGGCCGTCGGAAGGCCGAAAATACTCAAGCAACCTACGAACAATGACTGATGAGGGCCCTCGGGCCTTCCTGGGGGCCCTCTTGGAGGCCTCCTGGACCGTCTTGAAGACATCTTGGGGGCCTCTTGGGCCGTGTTGGGCCATCTTGGAGCCGTCTTGGGCCGTCTTGGAGGCTTCGTTGGCGGACTTGCAAGTTTTTTGGGCCCTCTTTGACCGTCTTGGAGACCATCTTGGACCATCTGGGGTGCATTTGGAGGCCTATTGGGGCCGTGCCCTCGACGGTGTGATCGACAGCCTGAGCTAGACGGTGCTGGACTTCCAGAGACAGATCGTCGAGGGCGCTGTGTTCTGGAAGGCCCAGGAGGCGAGGAAGAAGAGGCGCGCCCCACCGCCTGCCCCGAGGGCTTCTACTGAAACGGTGGGCTGCCTCACTTGCCAAAGCCCACGCAGGAGCCAGAGAAGCTTTTTTGAGGAGGCAACCGCGCCAGCACCGCGGGCGGGCTCGAGCGTGCCGTCGCCGGCAAGGCGGACAGCTCCGCGGGTGCCAAGCAGCCCATTCCCGACGGGGCTGACAACCACACCTACGCCGCCTGCCTGGCCGGCATGGCGTCGGTTGGGCTGCACTGCAAGACGCAGTGCCAGTGCGAGTCACCGACAGACGATGGTGCGAGGGTGTGCGGACACAGCCTGGGTGTGCTTGCGGAGATCGTCATGATCATGGTCATTGGAGTCGCCTAGCGCTACTAGCGCCATCAATTATGGCTTGCTCATCGCCTCGATAGCGAAGGCCGGGGTAGATACGGACTCGCTCTTTAACGCCATCCAGGCTTAGCCACGCAGCTTGACCTTCCTCCCTCTCCTCCCCTCCCCTCGTCGCGTCGGTCGCCTCGTCCTCGTTCGCCCCTCTCTGTCGTCGCCGTACTGTCACGTCCCTGTCTGTCGTCGTCGTTGGTGCGCCTGCCTTTCATGTGAACGTACGCATGGGCCAGCTCGCCGCCCCAAGGTTGCCCTTCGCACGCTTGGTTTCGCGTTTCTCTTCTCATGCGCTGACACGTACGTGCAGTTGTACAGCGTTGGCCATCCCCCCTGGTGCGTGGAACCCGCCCTATGCCTCCACTGAGGCTGCGGGGCGTGGTACTTGGGCCAGCATGCCGCCCAGTGATTGCCCATTGCACGTAGTTTGTTTGTCTTTGTTGCATGCCTCGCACGCGCCGGACAATCCTCTGCGCCCGCGTCACCGGTGTAGCGCTGGCGGTTTGTGTCCTCCAACTGCGGTGCGTTGCGCGTCCGATCTCGTCCATTCCCTCTCCTTCCCCTTTTTCTCCTTCGTGTCTCCTCTGCTATTCTGTCATTGTCAGTCACCGCCACGTGAACTGTCGGTCTCACAGCGTTCGGGCCTCGCGGTTCTTTGGTGACGTTCGCCGTCGTCTTTTGATAGTTGTTCAAGCATCCCTCGGTCCACAGCCCGTCTTCATAGTACACGCTGCGCCCTGCAACCGAGTGGTTGTAGAGTGTGGCCGTGGCGAGCCTCGGCTTTCGCCCGCCCTGCCAAATGCCTCCCTTCTCGCCCCCTCGCTTCTCTCTTCCTTCACGCATGCAGTGTGCTCGCTCATCTTTCAGGCACGGCTCACTGTGTGAGTTTGCCCATCGCAGGTCGGTTCCTGTAGTGGTAGTGCCTCCGGTTGTGCCTGGCGACCAGTTGATTCACAGCGGCCGAGGTTGAGCAAGATGACAATGTATGGTTACGCTCCTTATTCCTCCCCGTCAACCCCCAACTAATCAATACACACACCAGCAAAAAGTTGGCAAGGAGGCCAACACTGGGCCAAAACCTCATTACAATCAGTGATGTTGGCCTTCTTCTCGCCAAGGCCATCTTTGACGCTCTGACACCTCAAGGCCTCCCCCCGTCCAGGTCCAGGGGAGGGGGGGAGGGTGAGGGGTAAACCCATCCCCGGAGGGGCAGAGGGAAGATGGAAGAGGAAATCCCCTATTTTTTTCACACCCAGAGGGTTGGTGGGATTCCACACTTGTTCGTTCCAGGTGGCTCCGATACCGCTCCAGACGATCCTCAGACGCCCAAAGATGTCCGTGTCCCCTTGCGGTTGGTTGGCATATCCTTCGGAGGATATTGAAACTTGAGCGTTGTAGCTTGTATCCTCAGTTTAGGCTCTTACGCCACAAACTCTCCGCACACTCTTGCCATATCTCACAATTTTTCTTTGGTTCTTCCGTTCCGCAGATGGCGCATATTCTTCTGATCGCCAGCCTAGTCGGGGCCCACGGTGCATTTGGCTTGGCATCTGCAGGCGATCTCGAGTTGATACAGATGTGGAGGACGAGTCCGACAATGTCGAAGGATGAATTTGGGAGGGAGTTCTTCACGCATGCTGGCGTGCCTATCTACCCCAGTACGCCGTATGGTCACCGTATTGCCGCTGGTGAACATGAGGCCAATGAAGACAAGGTGTGGATGTTTATGTTGAAAGCGGATGTCACGGAGGCGGAGCTGCAAGCACTTGTCCAGGAGCTCCATCCGACGGCGTTGAAGACCAATCCAGACATTGGCGAGTTGCCATTTGCGGAGGGGCGATTGACAGAAGAAGAACTTGAGGCGTTGTTGGAAAAGTTCAAGGACTCGCTGCAGCTGGTCGAAGAGGACACATTTCTCCCAAGGGTCGAGAGCGTCAACGCGTCAGGAATCACCTCCGTATCGTCGACAGCTGCTTATGGATGGAATATTTTAGACATCAATGCGAACCAGGTCCGAGGGCGTGGCGTGGGGGTGAACGTGTATGTGCTGGACACTGGCATTCGCACAACCCACACGTCGTTCGGCGGACGAGCCTTTGCCGGAGCGGACGTGGCCACCACTGGGAGTTTCGAGTTGTGCGCGCCAAGCAGCACAAGTTGCGCTCTAGACAATCACTGGCACGGCACCCACTGCGCGGGCATAGTGGGGGCCCAAGACTTTGGCGTCGCGGATGGCGCGACCCTCTGGGCAATGAAGGTCCTCGATGACACCGGGAGCGGCTACGTATCTTGGTCCATTGCAGCCGAGCAGTACGTTCTATCGTCTGGTGCAAGGCCTGCAGTCGTCAGCATCAGCATCCAGGGCTCTGGCAACAGCCAAAACGAGAAGAACTCTATCCAAGGCCTTCGGCAACTGCCGCCGCCCCCCTGCTGAGACATCGGGTGAACCTTCCTCGCCGTCGACGTAGTCGTCTGTTGAAGGGATCGTAGCCCTGGCAGGGTAGTTCACGAGGGTTCGTGACCCTGAGCCCGTGGGTATCGGGTGATCCTTCTTCGCCGTCGAGGTAGTAGTCTATTTAGAGGGATCGCAGCCCTGGCAGAGCGTAATCCGCGAGTGGTCGTGACCCGGAGGCCCCAGTGCTCGGATCCCACGTAATTTGCAAAGGAGCGTCACCTGGAGGGAGCTTAATTGAGTGTGCAGCTTATACGAGTTTGCAGAGAGAAGAGAGCCATGGCGGTCCACCATCCGAGAAGCTAGACCGCAAACCTGCCCGGGTGTTGGTTGATCCTTTCTCGCCGTGGACGTAGCCGTCAATTTGGAGGCATCGTAGCCTTGGCAGGGTAATCCACGAGGGATAGCGAATTTCAGGCCCTGGGGGCTCGGATCCCATGCAACTTTCCATCGTTACCCAGGCAGCGCGTCTACAGCGCAACTTCTGGCGCTGCGTGACGGGGGAGGGCGACGCAACGGTGGGGTGAAGCGAGGTGCATCTCTCGTGCACTCGAGGAGCCCGAAGGGGACCCTCTGGGGCCCAACAAGGGGCACGAAAGTGGCACGTGTCTTCGCCCCCCCCCCCTCATGCATCGCCCCCCCAACAAGTCAGGAGGGGGAAAACAAACACAGACACAACAAATCGTTGATTCCCTGGAAAATATAAGAAAATGTGGGAAGTGGGGGGGGGGACACGAACCCAGGAAGTATGGGAAAATATGGGGAATCCTGTTATCAGTGTCTATTTATTTGTGTGTCCCAGGGCCCCTTCAACAAGCAACGCCCAATAAGTGAGCTCGCAGAGACAGAGAGATAGAGAGAGAGAGAGAGAGAGAGAGCCATGGCGGGCCCCCTTCGCGAAACTAGCCCGCAAATGTTGCACTGTGGAGTGCCTCGGGACCGCTTGGGGGCGTCTTGGGCCCTCTCGGACCACTCCCGGGCCATTCCCGGGCCGTCTGGAGCCTCATCGGAACCCTCTCGGGGCATCATGGGGGCTCTCTCGCGCCCGCGGGGGGTCGGGGGATCTTTATGGCCCTCCTGGAGCACCAGTGGGGCCCTCTCTCGACCATTCTCACCGCCTCTGGGACGCTGCGAAGACCGAGAGACCGAGAGAGGGCTTTTCGAGGCATGCTGGAGCAATCTTGGGGATCGTGCTGACTGTCCTGAGGCAGTAGCGGGCCCGCTCTGGGGGGGGGGGAAATGTGAGAAGGGTAAGGCCTTCTCAGAAGGCTCCGACGCCCCCCCCCCCGGCCTTTTGGGAAGTTGTGCCAGCCTTCCCCGGAAGACACGTAAAACATGTTCCGGAAGGCCCGAGAGCATTTGCGAAGCCCCGCCGCCTCTGAGAAGGCCTCCTCCTCCTTACTTTCCCCCCTCGCTCGCCGCCGAGGGCTGTCCTGAGGCTGTTTCAGGCCCGCTCTGGGGCCAATCGAGAGGCCCACGAGGCGTGCGAAGGCGCTGCCTGGAGCCGCCGCCGCTGCCGCCGCCAGCGCCGTCGCCAGACGGGACGGCTGGCGGCGTGGCCGACGCTTGGCATCCGCCGACGGCGGCTCGCCGGGCGTCCCCCGACGACGGGGCTTCGGGGCTCAAGAGACGGGGGTCCATACAAGCGGGAGTTAGCCAGAACGCTGGGTCTTGCAGGATCCTGCAGAGCCAGGGCTGCATTGATCAGGAGGGGAAAATACACACAGACACAAGTAATCGTCGACTCCTCGGAAAGTATTGGAAACTATGGGAAGTAGGGGGGAAGACGAACACCCAGAAGATATGGGAAAATATTGGAAATCCTGTGATGTGCTTTATCTACTTGCGTGTCCCTGGGCCCCTTGACTTGACCAGGGCTTGGGTGCAGGATCCTGCAGGGTCTTGCAGGATCCTGCAACCTCCTGACTGGCCTGGGTCTGGATGGACCCGGGACCGCAGATCCCCGACGGGCTCGCGAGCTGGTGCTGCCGCGTGCGGACGCCCGCCAGCCTCGGCGCCGAGGGGGGAAGGCTTCGTAGAAGCACCCCTGGTTCTTAGAAGGCGCGGGCCTTCTCCATAGATGGATGGTCCGCGCCTTCTAAGAAGCATCCCCCTTCTCAGAAGCCTTCCCCCCTCCCCCCCTGCCCCCCCCTAATCCCGTGGTGGACCTCCATCCGTCCATCCCTCCCCCTGCCCCCCCTCTGCGTGCCGCCGAGGCTGGCCCCGCCCGCTCTCTGGCCCCCTTCGGTGTGGAGAGCCCGCCGGGCCTGCCCGTCGCAGGTCCCCCGTCCCTCAGAGGAGGAACAGGTGCGTGCCCCATACCTCCACCCTGTCCTCGGTTTACCCCGTCCTGGGCCTCCTCGGAGGCCCTCGTCGCCACCGCTGGATTCGCCTCGAGATTCTGGTCGGAGCGCTCCCCTGGAGAGGTCCAGGGGGGAGCGGCATGGGTACCCGGTGGTCTCCCCACCGTTCCCTTGCTTCAATCCGCCCCCGCCCCGTCCGCTTGTTGACTCCGCCCGCTCCGACCCCTTGGGCATGCATCGAAGAGGGAGCAACAACATCAACCCAAACGTTTGGCGCTCCGCGTGTTTGTCTTGGTTTCGCGCTGGGGCCCCCTCCCACCCGCGGGGAGCGCCAAAAGTTTATGTTGATGTGCATTAGTTTCTTCGAAATCCGCCCCCGCCCCGTCCGCTTGTGGACCCCGCCCGCTTTCCGGCCCCTCGATGTGGAGCGCCCGCCTTGCCCATTTGAGGTCCCCATTCCCTGACGATTCGGATTGAACCTACCCATCGGTCATTAAAGGTACGTAGGTATTTTTGGATTCCCAGAACCCAATCTACTTCAAGGGCCTTCCTACTTCAATAACCGATATGGTTTGGATGTTGTTTGTTATTAACTATTTGGGCGAGCCCGAGCCGAATCCACTTGATCTGCCTTCCTACTTCATGTTTCTACCTGCTTCTTCCGACCGGCGTGCAAGTATCCCCATCCCCATTGGGCCATGGTGTCTCAGCCCCACCATCCCACCCCCCCGCTTGGCACAGGCCCCTCGAAGCCCGAAGGGAGCAGCACATACACCCCCTTATCTAGGGGGGGCAAGTTTGCCAGCGGGGATAGGGATCGGCAAACAAAAATGCTCACTCAGGGCGCGCGCGCCTCCTTGGAATTCCCGATATTCGAGCCCCGATCCTCTAGGGCCTTCCCTCCCGCTTCAGGAGAGCAGCCCACATCGATTCTCCCTACATTGAATCTCTGGCATCACAACAACACCGAATGTTTACAACGTGGATGCCCGACAGGGTTGGGACAGCGGGTCGACATGTTGGTTGCCGACGGCGTGACTGTGGTGGTGGCGGCCGGGAACTACGACGATGATGCGTGCGGTTACAATCCAGCCTTCATCCCGTCTGCGATCACCGTGGGATCTTACGGCGGGACTTCGGGCTCGTCAACAGACAAGTCTCCCTTCAGCAACTACGGCTCTTGCCTCGATGTATGGGCTCCAGGCACGTACATCTACTCCACGTACATAAGCAACGACAACGCCGTGGCCTGGGCGTCGGGTACATCCCAGGCCTGTCCGCATGTTTCTGGGCTCGCGGCCATCATGTACGAGGAGTACCCGACGGCGGGGTCCATGACCGCCTCACAGCGGTGGGATCTCGTGACGGTTTCGAAACGCACCAATTATGTCACAGGCTCCCTTTCTTGCTCCCCACCCCCTCATGGAATAGGAAGGGGACGAGGAGAAGAGTGGAGGAGGAGGGAAGGAGGAGGCAAGTAGGAGGAGGAGGAGGAGGAGGAGGAGGAGGAGGAGGAGGAGGAGGAGGAGGGAGGATAAGCACACTGGAGGGAGGGCAGAGGGAGGGGCAAGAGGATGGAGGAGAACAGAGGACAGGAGGAATGGGGATGGATGGGGGAGGCGTGAGCCCACGTTGCTGCCACGAAGCGTATGGGATGTGTGCCGACATGGGGGGGGACGTGCCCTGCCACTGAGGCCTTCGGCTTCGGTGGAGCCCCTTGTGGGGCCATGGAACACGTGAGCGGTGTGTCGTCATGGGCGTGCGGAGAGCGGTGGCAGGAGGGAGGGGGAGGAGGGGAGGAGAAGATGTGGCGCGGCGCTGCCGATTCAAACATCGAGGGCCCAGCTCACACAGGAGGGTTGGACCCACATACTAGATCATCGCATGTGAGCCTGATCGTATGATATGTCAGGGCTGAGGGGGCATTACTTCATATTCAGGATGAGCGATCATGCAGCAGCCGTATGAAAACAGTACAACACATACGCGCAGGCGTGTCGTCAACCCCGGCCTGGGTGTGCCTGGGTGTGTGTGTGTGTGTTTGTGGTTGTGTTTGTGTTTGTGTTTGTGTTTGTGTTTGTGTGTGTGCTTGTGTGTGCGTGTGTGTTTGCGTGTGTTTGCGTGCGGGTGTGCGGGTGGGAATATGTGTATGTTTGTGTATGTGAGTATGTGTGCGTGTATGTATGTGTGTGCGGTGGTGTGTGTGTGTGTCGTGTGTCGTGTGTTGTGTGTTGTGTGGTGTGTGGTGTGTGGTGTGCGGTGTGTGGTGTGTGGTGTGTGGTGTGTGTGTGTGTGTTGTGTGCGTGCGTGCGTGCGTGTGTGTATGTGTGTGGGTATGTTGGTGTGTGGGTGTGTTGGTGTGTTGGTGTGTGTGTGCGTGGGTGTGTGTATGTGCTTGTATGTGATTGTGTGTGGGTGTGTGATTGTGTGTGTGATTGTGTGTGAGTGTGTGATTGTGTGTGATTGTGGGTGTGGGTGTGGGTGTGGGTGTGGGTGTGGGTTTGTGTGTGTGGGTGTGTGTGTGTGCGTGTGCGTGTGCGTGTGCGTGTGCGTGTGCGTGTGCGTGTGCGGGTGCGTGTGCGTGTGCGGGTGCGGGTGCGTGTGCGGGTGCGTGTGCGTGTGCGTGGGTGCGTGGGTGCGTGGGTGCGTGAGTGCGTGGGTGCGTGTACGTGTACGTGGGTGTGTGCGTGCGTGTGTGCGTGTGGGTGCGTGCGTGCGTGCGTGCGTGCGTGCGTGGATGCGTGCGTGCGTGCGTGCGTGCGTGCGTGCGGGCGCGCGGGCGCGTGCGCGGGCGCGTGCGCGTGGGCGTGCGCGTGCGTGTGCGTGTGCCTGTGCGCGTGCGTGTGCGTGTGCCTGTGCGTGTGCGTGTGCCTGTGCGTGTGCGTGTGCGTGTGCGGGTGCGTGTGCGTGTGCGTGTGCCTGTGCCTGTGCCTGTGCCTGTGCGTGTGCGCGTGCGTGTGCGTGTGAGTGTGAGTGTGAGTGTGTGTGTATGTGTTGTGTGTGATTGTGTGTGATTGTGTGTGCGTGTGTGCGTGTGTGCGTGTGTGCGTGTGCGCGGTTGCGCGTGTGCGCGTGTGCGCGTGTGCGCGTGTGCGTGTGTGCGTGTGTGCGTGTGTGCGTGTGTGCGCGTGTGCGTGTGTGTGTGTGTGTGCGTGTGTGTGTGTGTGTGTGTGTGTGTGTGTGTGTGTCTGTGTGTCTCTGTGTGTGTCTGTGTGTCTCTGTGTGTCTCTGTGTGTGTCTCTGTGTGTGTCTCTGTGTGTGTCTCTGCGTGTCTCTGTGTGTCTCTGTGTGTCTCTGTGTGTCTCTGTGTGTCTCTGTGTGTCTCTGTGTGTCTCTGTGTGTCTCTGTGTGTCTCTGTGTGTCTCTGTGTGTCTCTGTGTGTCTCTGTGTGTCTCTGTGTGTCTCTGTGTGTCTCTGTGTGTCTCTGTGTGTCTCTGTGTGTCTCTGTGTGTCTCTGTGTGTCTCTGTGTGTCTCTGTGTGTCTCTGTGTGTCTCTGTGTGTCTCTGTGTGTCTCTGTGTGTCTCTGTGTGTTTCTGTGTGTCTCTGTGTGTCTCTGTGTGTCTCTGTGTGTCTCTGTGTGTCTCTGTGTGTCTCTGTGTGTCTCTGTGTGTCTCTGTGTGTCTCTGTGTGTCTCTGTGTGTCTCTGTGTGTCTCTGTGTGTGTGCTTGGTGGGGGGGGGGGTATGGGGGTGGTTGTGTGGGTGGGAGGGGTTGGGCGGGTGGGTGGGTGGGTTGTGGGTGGGTAAGTGGGTGTGTGTGTGGCTGTCTGTGTGTGGGTGTCTGTGTGTATGGGTGTGTGAGTGCGTGTGCGTGTGCGTGTGCGTGTGAGAGTTCCTGTGCGTGTGCGCGTGCGGGTGTGTGTATTTGTGTGTGTGTGCGTGTGTGTGTGTGTGTGTGTGTGTGGGTGTGTGGGTGTGTGGGTGGATGGGTGCGTGTGTGTGTGAGGGTGTGGGTGTGGGTGTGGGTGTGGGTGGGTGGGTGCGTGGGTGGGGGGGGCTGTTTGATATGGCAGGAACGAGAATACATGGTGCGCAGCCCACGAATTAACTCGTGACGGAGCGTAACGTATGAGATTGAATTCCCTGGGGCGCAAGATGCGGGACACCAAACATAAATTCCCGATTGCGGCCCATAAGTGAACATGGACAGGAAGCCATAGGGCACCAGCGAAACGTATGGCAACGATCAGGAACACCCGAGTGCGGCCCATATGGATCCATGGACAGGGCACCACAGAGCACTGGTCATACAGAACTGACCTGGACAGGCCGATGTGGCCCACATAGAACCACAGGGCACCAACCATAGGGTACCGATCGGGAACGGCCGATTGCTGCGCACAAGAAACCCATAGACAGAGAGCAATACGGCACCAATCATAGGGCGCTGAGTGGGACGGGCCGATGTGGTCAAACGGGGAATTGCATATGCCACCAACCATTGGGCACCAAACGGGGACGGCTGACTGCGGCCCGCAGGGTACCACAGGGATATTCGGTGAGAAACAATACTGTGTTCTTCGCGGCGAGGCATTCCTACGACCCCGGCGTCTGTCAATTTGGTGGCCTTGGCACCGACGGGCAGCCCGACGCCCAGCCCACCGACGTCTAGCCCGACGCCTGGCCCGACGGCAGACGCCGGCATCGCCGTTGGCGATCCGCATTTGCAAAACATTCATGGTGATCGGTTCGACCTGATGAGGGAGGGCACGCATGTTCTGATCAACATCCCACGTGGAATGAGCGCTGAAAACGCCCTTCTTCGCGTCCAGGCCGATGCAGCCCGACTGGGAGGGCACTGCGCGGACATGTACTTCCAGGGCGTGAACATTACAGGGTCGTGGGCAGAGGCAAGACAACCTGGAGGGTATCGTTACACCGCATCGCAACATGAGGCCCAGACTCCAGGATGGGTTGGCATGGGCAAAGTTGAGCTGAAGGTCGTTCACGGACATTCGGTCAGCGGTTACCAATATTTGAATTTCTACGTGAAGCATTTAGGGCGAGCAGGGTTTGCTATCGGCGGTCTGCTGGGGGAGGACGACCACGCCCTCGAGTCGACTCCTCCAAAGTCATGCGTCAATCAGATGTCCCTCTGGGACATTTCCAAAAGCAAGGCATTGCAGAACGGAATCTGAACGACCAGCGCTACTCCATGGCGCCGCTGTAGGGAGCTAGCTCCGCGCGGACACCGCTGCGGAGAACCCGTCCGGGGGGGGGGGAGGCGCCCCCTGGGCGGTGGCCGCGATGCGGCGGCACACGTGTGAGGCTCGTTCAGGGGTGAGACGTGCGAGCCCCGCATAGAGTAGAGACCCATGCCAAGAACCACCATGCTTGCCTCCAGGGTGCCCCGGGTTTCTTGGGTCTCGATGGTTTTGCCACGGAGAGCGTGACGTGCCCACACTGCAAAGATCAATGGACGTTTTGGGGTCTCACAGTTGGGTTTATGGTGGAAGGTTTCTTGTGGACTAGCCTCTACTCACCACCCACCAAACCACCCCAACCCAACCCGAAGGCTCAAACTTACCCTCGATTTCCAGTGGGGGGCGGGGCGGGGAACGTAGCAAAAACACATGTGGAACCCGCACCCCCCCCCCAACCCGAATCTTGGGTCTTTGGGTCCGGTTGGCGTGGTCTGGCAGGCAGTCATCTACCGTACGGGCCGTATGGCTGCGATCCGCACCGGAACCGATCACGGGTCGCTACGCGTTGCGAGCGGCGCACGCGGCGCGCGCTCTTGCCCAATTTTCTGCCTGGGCGGCAGGCGGCCTTTGCCCGCCGGCATGCGCGCAGAGGGCCTCCTCGAGGGTCGTCTCCCCCGGCGTCTGAGTCACCGAAACAGACCGCGCGCTGTCGGAGGATGGGCCTACGGCTAGGAAGTTCCAACCCATTCTAGCCTCGATCACGCAACAAAAAATCGAACACGAAGGAAGTAATTACCGAAACTGGAGGGTGTTCACGTGTCGGGCCCTGGGAGGCGAGACTCGTTCGGCACTGTTTCGATACTTTTCTGGGTTCTCGAAATTACTTCTGGGGTGTGGTCCTTAAGTACGGTGGGAGCAACATAAGCCTACAGTAAGTTCGCGTCGTGTCGACAGGCGGTGGCCCCGCCGTTGGCGTTCGACGTTGAAAGACGCCAGCGAGCCAGAGTCGGTCGATGCTGAACGATCTGACGTTTCGGACATGGCCGATGTTCAGGGTTGAACGATCCCCGTCAGGAAGCAACCAAGGGGTAGACACGACACGAACGCGTGGCATCGGGAAAATCGGAACTACCAATACCGCTACCCTTAGCTCGTCGCCACGGCTGGATTCGCCTCGAATTCGCTGGTCAGGACGCCCCCCCCGAGATGTTTTGGGAGTAGCGGTATCGATATTCGAGAAGCTTTACGGCCGGTGCCGCCGCCCTGAACGACGACGACGAGCGCTATCGGGAACTTCTTTGGGGTAGTGTTGGGGCCTTTTGGGGGTAGTTTTGGGGCCTCTTGGGATGCATTTGGGGGTCTTTTGGGAGCCTCGTGGGGGCCTCGTGGGGCTTCCTGGGGGTCTCGTGGGGGCCTCTTTGAGGGCTTTTCCGTAGCCATTTTGGCTCAAGATGTTTTCGCCCCGTGGCAGAGCACGGGGACCCTTGGTCCAGGGCCACACCCCTTGTGGGCTCGTGTCGGCGCGAAGGGCGCACCGATGGCGGGCGGTGAAGGCGCTTGGCAGTTCAAGGGGGGCGGTAAGCGTGGGCGTAAGCGGGGGGCGTAAGCGTGGGCCAGCGTGGAGCAGCGACATTGGCATGGCCATCACCTGGCGCCGTGTCGGACGCAAGCAAGAAGGAGCCAAAGGGGACACGCGGTACAGGTAGCAACTGGGCCTCGAGGGCGTCTTGCCGCAAGTGTGGTGCGACTAGGCCGTATGGGGGAAGGCGCGGGTGCGGCAAAGGCCAAGGACAGGCCAACTCGCAGCTGGAGGCCGCCTTCGCCGCCCTGCAGGCCCAGCTCAAGCAGCCCATCGGTGAGAACAACAAGCATAGGAAGCAGTTGGCTGCCGCGCAGACGAGCACGGCGGGAGGGGCTCCCCCATTTTGGACGGTCGAGGCCAAAGGTGATGGGAAGACGGAGCTCGAGCGACTCATTGAAGAAAAGAACGGCTGGAGGGTGTGTTCCTCGACGGCGACAAGCCCGATCGGCTGCAACAGGAGCTCGCCAAACACGACAAGAAGATTGCAGCGTCGCGCGAGGCTCGTGACAGGGCCAAGCCGCTGTCCGTGCAGCTGCGTGATGCCAGCTTCCAGTCCGCCAAGGCCACCAAGCAGCGGGTGGCGGCTGAGGCGGAGGTGCAGAAGGTGCGTGATGTCTTGGCGAAGGCGGTGGAGCGGGAGTCAGCCGCCAAGCAGCGGGAGACGGAGGCCGGGTCCTACGAGTTGGAGATTCAAGCCAGGATTGCGGCCGAGCGGCACAGGTCGCCCGTCACGGACATGGACGTCCACCGTGCGGCATTCGAGGGGTTGGCTGAGCAGGCCGGTACCATCCTCGAGGCGTTTGGTCTCGCCTCGGGCCTCGCGCAGCTGGGCGCGCGGGTGGCTGCGGCCACTCCTGCTGTTCCTGCTGCTGGCGTGTCAGCTGGGCCACGGGACGGCGGCCAGCCAGCAGACGCAGCACTTCACGGTGCAGGAGTCGCAGACGGAGGCATGGCAGTTGACCAAGAAGCAGGGCCAGAAGACGTCACAGAGAAAGAGAAGGCCTGGCTGCTGGGCGAAGCCGACGCGCCCGACAAGGACCAGCAATCTGAGAAGCACAAGCGGTACTTGGTGGTGCTCCAGGTCCAGCACGCCTACAATCACAAGCGCCAGAGATGTGGGTAGTGGCCTGGTGTATAGGGTGCGAAACGGGACGGCGCTCGGCAGGCCCTTGTCGCCGCTGCGGGCAGGCCCTTGTCGCCGCTGCGCGGCGAGCAGGCTGGCGATGCTGGAGCTGCGGGCCAGGGCCCAGCGCGGGAGTTTGCTGCGGCTGCGCCTGCGGGCAGCTGGCGGGGCGCGGCGGCGGCGCCAGCGGCCGCGCCTGGCCCCTCGCCTCGGGGTCGCCGTGGAGGCGCACGGCCCAATCGCGACGAGGATGACCTCGCGCTGCGCGGGGGGTCGTGCGAGGGCATGCCAACGCGCTGATGCGCAGGCAGCAACGCGACTTTCTCTGCCACCCCGTGGACCATCCACGGGTCTAGTTGGGGCACTATCAAGGAGAAACTGCCGGGGCCCAAGGACGGGGAGGCGCGGCGAGCCCACGCAGTGCAGGAGCACCACCCCACGGACGACAAGTGGGCAGGCGCCACCCTCAACACGGCGCAGAGGCATCAGTTTAAGCGGTGTCTCCGCAGTGGCCACAGTTGGGCAGTCTTGGGGACCCCGCCACGCATTTCGGCGCGCCCCCTCACGCGGTTCGTGGCCCCATAGGGAGCGCGAGCGAAGATGAGATCCACAATCGCGGCATTCAGAACTGCATATGGTTGGGCCCTTGGCCAGGCTTATTCTGGGTCTTGCCTCTCAGGTGTTTTATGGAAGAAAAGGAATGCCCCGTCCTGCTCGCGGACCCTCGCTCGCCTGCCTCGTTTCGAGATGCTGCGCGAGCAGCCATGGCTGCATCTGTCCAACCAATATTGTCGTGCACCCGACATTTTCACATGTCTTCTCGCGTGCCCCAAAAACTTCGTAACGTCTGCGACTTGCATGGGCATCCGCAGCGAATTTGCCATTGTCGTGGCCTCCAGCAAGTGCCGCCGATCCTGGGCGACCCTTACGTTATCAAGAATGGACGGCGACGACGACAACGGACGACAAACGATCGACGAGCGGGATAATGCATACATAGATGTGTATATATACATGCATGGATTCATGCATGCATACATACGTACGCATGCATACACACGTACGTACATACATATGTATATATGTAGGGGAATTCAAGGATAAACAAAAACGCCATGTTCAACGACTGGTGGGTACAGTCGTTTCGTCCGCCCTGCAATCGAATGTTTTACGCCTCGGGCATATCCATTCTTGCTGGTCTTCCATGAAGTATTTCATTGAATTCGGCCTCGGCACCCAGCGACGTATTCTGCACGGTTGCGCACGTCGCGCCGCCACCGGGCCCCGGGCCTTTGGGGTTCACGCTCGGCGGCTACACAGGGGGGCTGTCTGCTACACTGGGGGTGGGACGCCGACACGTGGGGGCTACACCTAGGGGGCTACACATAGGGGCTGCACCTGGCTGCTGCACATGGTACTACAGCTGCTGGACTGCATTTGGCTCCGCATCTCCTTCCAGTGTGGAAAAAATTCACGACGGATCAGTTGTTGTACAAGTTTCGGCTACTGGGGGCCAAGAGCCCTTTCGGGCCAGACCTCTGGTTGTCCACGCTGCTAAAAAAAACACAGCATCGGAGTTTTGGGTCGTTGTTGAGGGGGGATGTTTAGAGCCAGGGGGTCTGCCTTGGCACCATCGTGGGCTGTCTTGGAGGCCTCTGCGGTTCCTGGTTGAGCACGCTCTGGCGTATACAAAGACTGAACGCGTTCAACTGTATTTGAGAAGACTTGGGCCTGCTACTCGTCGTGGACATTTTCTAGCTAATATTGAGGGCCGCACGGGGCCAGTTTAGGCGTCTCCCCAGAGTGGTTTTAGGACCGCTGTTCGGTCTTCTTGTACACTCTTAGGCTTTCTGGGCCGAGGTTCTGTGGGCCGTTTTGGGACCGGTTGTGGGCGTCCTGGGGCTTCCGCGAGGTGTCTTGAGCCTTCCAGGAGCCCCGTTTGGGGCGCCTCGGGCTCCTATTGGGCTGTCGTGGGCCGATCTTGGGGCCACTTGGGGCGGTCTTGGGACGATGTTGGGGGCCTGTCCGGGCGTCATGGAAGCCGTGTAGACCAAGAAGGCGATTGAATCAAAATCGTGACAGATCATGTCGCGGCAACAGTCATGTTCAGACTGCTCCCTCTTCGTTGCTCGCGTGTCTTTCAATATGTGTTTCACGAAACCTAGACTCTCGCCCCCTTTTATGAACATGCCTGTTTGGGGCGGTTGGTTTTCATACCAGCTCCTGGGTAAGACCCGACAGAGTAGGACAAGCGGGTCGGGCAGGCGAACCCTAACGGAAGAGTCGGGCGGGTGGATTTTCATTCTTCTCCTCCTAATCTTCAGTATCTTCGTTCTCCTCCTCATTTTTCCTCCTCCTTCCCTCCTATATGTTATTGTTGCTGTATCTTAGCAGGGGAATTCCTGCTCCCCCATGCCACTTCAATTAAGCCGCTCCCGACTCCGCTTGTCGCTGCGCTCTTCCTTCCTCCTCATCGTCACCCTTCTCCTACGAAACGAACACCTGTACAGGTCCACCTCCTCCCACCCCCTTTTCATTGCTCTCCTCCCCTTCCTTGGGGGTGAGGGGGGGGAGGAGCGAGGTGGATCGAAATCGTTGACCGGATACATACAGTCCTCCTCCTCCTCCTCCTCCACCCCCTTCTCCTCGCGGCGCGCGAGGCAAGGGCCGCATGGTCCGGGAGGGCCGCGACGGATCCTTGGCCATCCTGTCGTGCGGGGACCGGCTGCGGGAGTGCATGAAGGCGGGGAGGCGGGGGGGGGAGGAGCATTTGGCCTGGCAAGAGGCCCGACCATGTGCAGTTGTGAGTAGCGCAGTTGTGAGTATCTGTTTCGGTGGGGCTCCCGATGGGGCGACGAAACGTCGTGTGACCACTGTGCCGAATTGGGCGCGGCGGGCGCAGGCGAACGCAGCCACTGGAGCCTTCGGAGGAGCTTCCAGTGTGACCACGAAGCGTGTGAGGGTGTGTGCCAAAATGGGTGCGCCGGGCGCATGCGAACGCAGCCATTGTGGCCTTCGGTGGAGCCCCTTGTGGGGGCACGAAGCGTGTGAGGGGTGTGCCGAAATGGATGTGACGGGCGCATGCGAACGCAGCCGCTGATACCTTCGGTGGAGCTCCCTGTGGGGCACGAACTGTGCGAGGAGTGTGCCGACATGGGTGCGGCGAACGCATGCGGCTCATGCGAACGCAGCAGCTGGGGCCTTCGCTGGAGCTCCCTATGAGGCCACGAAGCGTGTGAGAGGGTTGTGCCAAAAAGGGTCTGGCGGGCGCATGCGAAAGCAGCCACTTGACCCTTCGCTGGAGCTTCCAATGTGACCACGAAGCGTGTGAGGGGTGTGCCAAAATGGGTGCGCCGGGCGCATGCGAACGCAGCCACTGGGGACGTCCCCTAGGGGTGTATCAAAATGGGTGCGGCGGGCGCATGCGAACACTGGCATTGGGCCTTCGGTGGAGCTCCCTGTGGGGCCACGAAACGTGTGAGAGGTGTGCGAAATAGAGACACGCGGTTAGCAGAGGTAAGAATGGGAGGAAGGAGGAGAGGGAGGAGGAAGAAAGGAAGGAAGGAGACGTGGGGCGCTGTCTCTTCAAAACGAGGACCCAACACCACTGTGCGGGAGGAGAAGAATAAATGGAGGGTACTTTGCGCACGTTTTGGGACATGTTCTGCCTCCCTGGGCCCAGGAGCGTCAAAAAACGACTCGGGATGAAATCCTGGACTGGGGAAGGGGTCCAGACCATTGGGGGTCTCGGTGAAGAGACACGGGCCTTGGAGGGGGTCAGGAGCAACGTTGAGGCTTTGATGCTACATGTTTTCTCACGTTTTCGTGAGCTCTCGTCCCCTCGCTGGCGCCCCCGACGACCGCATGTTGGATATAGCCCCTGGGTGGGCTGGGACCATGAGTTTTTACGTGTGCAGGCCATCAGGGGGTCTCTAACATGGTGGTCCCGAGCTGGAATCACGTGTTTTCACGTGTCCAGGCCACCCAGGGAGGGTATCTAACATGGTGGTCACGAGCTGGCACCACGTATTTGTACATGCTCAGGCCACGCAGGGAGTGTATCTAACACGGTGGTCCTGCGCTGGAACCACGTGTTTTCACGTGTCCAGGCCACCCAGGGGGTATCTATTATGGTGGTCATGTGCTAGCACCTCGTGTTTTTACATGTCCAGACCACCCAGGGGGTATCTAACATGGGCCTCCTGGGGCCTTCCTGGGGCCTGGAAATTCCCCCTTGGTGGGCTGGAACCATGCGCATTTACGTGTGCAGGCCATCTGGGGGGGTATCTAACTTTGTGGTCCCGAGTTGGAACCGTGTTGTTTCACGTGCCCAGGCCACCCAGGGGGGTATCTAACAACATGGTGGTCCCGCGCTGGAACCATGTGTTTTTACGTGTCTAGGCCACCCAGGGGGGTATCTAATTTTGTGGCCCCGGGCAAGGACCACGTCTTTTCACGTGTCCAGGCTATGCAGGAGTGTATGTAACATGGTGGTCCCGAGCTGGTACCATGTATGTGTAAGTGCCCAGGCCACCCAGGGGGATCTCTAACATGGTTGTCCTGAGCAAGGACCAAGTGTTTTAACGTGTCCAGGCCACCCAAGGGTGTATCTAATATGGTTGCCCAGAGCTGGTCACACGTGTTTGTACGTGTCCAGGCAACCAAGGGGGTATGTAACATGATCGTCCCGAATTGAAACCACGTGGTTTTACGTGTCCAGGCCGCCCAGGGGGGTATTTAACATGGCGGAACCAGGTGCTTTAACGTGTCCACGCCACCTAGGGGGTATCTAGCATGGGCCTCCTGGGACCTTCCTGGGAGCCTGGAACGGACGTCTAACATGCAATTGTGTTGAGGATACTTCGAGCGAACCACGAGGATGTCTTGTTCGCCCAGGCGGATGTCTAGCATGAGGATGTGCGGAGGATGTGTTGAGCGAAACGCTTGATTGCACGTGTCCAGGTCGCCCAGGCGAATGTCTAGCATGAGGAGTTGGGCAGAATGTTACGAGCGAAACGCTTGACCCCA